AAAAAAAAAAAAAAAAAGAAAAGAAAAGAAAAGAAAAAGAATTATTTGTATAATTTTTGATAAAAGCATTTTACTGATTGAGGAGTAAAGAAAGATGGATACTTTCTTTAAGGAGAGGTAGGCTTTCCCTAAATCTTGCCTGAGGGCACACAATATAGTCACCTAGAAGTCTAATTTTTCATCCATAGTCATAGTAACTTTTGAAAAATGACATTTTGAAAACAAAGGCGATATCAAACTTGAGACAAAAGGCATTTTAAAAATCCACATGCTTTGGAATATTAACTCATTGATACGAGTATGTTTCAACTAAGCTGTAAAAATATTTGGTTACAGGACATTTCACAATTTGACTGGAGTAGGAAAGTTTATCAGTGGCCACCGGAACTGGAGAAAAGTTACCTAGAGAAACAAGTTTGCAAGAACAGCAACTAGAAGTTAAATAACTGTTCTGTGGCAGAGTTCATATTCAAATTTAGCTTTGTTTGTCCAAAAGTCTGTGCTGTTTTCACTATACCACTCCCAAGCTGTCTTTACTCATGGGATTCATGTTTTCTTTCTTTCTTTCTTTTTTTTTTTTGAAACAGAATCTCACTTTGTTGCCCAGGCTGGAGTGCAGTGGCGTGATCTCGGCTCACTGCAAGCTCTGCCTTCTAGATTCATGCGATTCTCCTGCCTCAGCCTCCTGAGTAGCTGGCACTACAGGCACCCACCACTATGCCCAGCTAATTTTTGTATTTTTAGTAGAGATGGGATTTCACCATGTTGGCCAGGCTGGTCTCGAATTCCTGACCTCAGGTGATCTGCCCAAAGTACAGGGATTATAGCCAAAAGCTAGGATTACAGGCTTGAGCTTCTGTGTGTGGCCCAGGATTCATTTTTCTTTCTACCTAGCCTTATTATCTCATAATTTTATTTTAAATTTGAACTGCTGCTGACTTTTTTCATGCTTGTCTTTTGATTTTGTTGTCTACCACAAGTTATCACTCCTTTATTTGTGACTGCAAAGTTTTAAATGTCCTTCAAAAGACTGCATTCTGAATTTTACTAATTTAGTTTGATGATTTGCTATACCATTCAGATCTTTTTTTTTTTTTTTTTTTTTTTTTTTTTTTTTTTTTTTTTTTTTTTTTTTTTTTTTTTTGAGACAGAGTCTCACTCTGTCACCCAGGCTAGAGTGTAGTGGCACGATCTCAGTTCTTGCTGTGAAGAAAGGCCTCTGGTAAAGATGGTATTAGGTCAAGTGACGGAAGGCTTTCTGAGAATGCAATGGCTAAAATCTAAAGGACATTATTTAGGCCAGTGATTCTCAATGAGCGTAGTAGGTTTGCTCCCCATGTGACATTTGGCAATGTCTGGAGACATTTGTGATTGTCATGATTGGGAAGTACTCGTAGTATGCACTGACTAGACAAGAAAGATGGTGCTACATCTCTTATAATGCACAGGACAGTTCCCCATAACAAATAATTATCTGATCTAAAAAAAGTCAACAGTGCCAAGGTTGAGACATCTTGAACTCGGCAAAGAGAAAAGCACAAGCAAAGACCAGTGGTGGAAGACTCAAATATGGACAAAATGGTTTCGGAAGAGAAAACTAGAAGGGACACAGGGAAGGGCGGCTTATAAACCCTGTTAAGGAGTTTTGACTTTATCTTAAGAATGAAGGGAAAAACAAGTAAGTGAAGGGTTTAAAGGAGAGGAGGAGAAAGGGAATGAAGACAGTGGTGATAATATGTCCAGATTAAAATTTCAAAAAGGGTTACTGACTGCAATATGGTGAACAGATTGGAAGGGAGTGAAATTGGATATGGGTAGATGAAACAGGTAGCTAAGTAATTTAATTTCTTAGAAACTCCAAAGGCTGGGAAAACAGAAGGTACTAGTGGTGAGGATGTAGGAGTAGCTGAAAAACTTCTTTCTATAAATGTTCTATATAGGAAAAGAACAAAGAATGCATGGTGTTTATATGCACTGCTCTCTGCAGTCTCAAGGTAGAGTAGTAGTCTCTAAGCATAAATGAAATGTTTTCCTTACATTTAAAAAATAAGGGAAGGCCAGGTACAATGGCTCACACCTGTAATCCCAACATTTTGGGAGGCTGAGGTTGTAGGACTACTTGAAATGAGGAATTTGAGACCAGCCTGGATAGCAAAGCGAGATCCCTATCTCTAAAAAAATAAATAAATGAATAAAAAATAAGGGACAAGAATATTTTTTGTCTTTAAATGTGATATATGGTGCCATATAAAATACTTTATTTGTAAGGATTCAGGCAGCAAAAAACTAAATTTAATTTTAAATATAAATTTTAGTGTGCAAGTTATAATCCACACTTATAAGCTCAGGAATTGATGAAACTAATGACTGGCTCCACTTAAGTATGCTCTTGAAAATATGTTTTCCTTATAGAAAAGCTAAACTAGCAAATATTAAAAACTATTTTATTACAAAACATAGAAAAGAATGAATATACATATGACTAAATAAACCAATAGACACAAACTTGACACAAAGTGGCATTTTTTTTTTTTTTTTTGAGACGG